TGGCTTAGGGTCACTCCCAAGGCCATGACAAACTGTCTTCAAGGCTGCTGTGACCTCAAGACTCAACCAGAGCTAGACAGTTTACCTCCATGCTCACTCCTGCAGCATTGTATTCCTGTCTCAAGATGTATCATCAACATTTTATTTTATTTTTTTCTTTTCATTTAAAAAAATTTTTAATGTGGTATATATGACAGCAAATGCATTACAATTCATATTACACATATAGAGTACAATTTTTCATATCTCTGGTTGTACATATTAATTTTATTTTTTTGTGTTGTTCTAGTTTATTTACTCTAAGAAGAAATAGATATTGAAGTATGTCAAAGATTTCTTAAAGGAAGTCATGACCAATAGAATGTTGGAAGGCACATCAGAACTCATTGATTCAATTTCTTACCTAAACAATGAGAAACAGAAGCCAAGAAGACTAACAGTACACCAGGAGGGTTCCATAATTATGATAACACTATCCAATTTTCATCTTTGTTCGCATAACTGCCATTCTTTCTAGCTCTTAAAACTCCCTGACTTTCCTCCATGTGTTAACTACTGAGTGAATCGTCCGCTGGTTAGCTCTCATCTTGCAGGTTAATGTAACAAGTAGTCTTGTTAGTTAAACTCATGCCAAATCTGCTCTGGACTCACTGAATTCACCTGGGATAGGATTTCTCCAGACCCATGTGGATAATACTCAGAGGACACAGATCAGTCTTTCAGTCCTGGAGGGTGTGGGAATGAATTCCCAGAGGGACCCCTGAGGCCAGGCTTTGTTTGCCCACCTCTAGTGTCCTGGTCACACATCAGCCTCACCAAGCTGACCATCTGATATTGCTTACATTGGTCCCCTGAGCAGTAGGAGTTTTGGGCAGTTGACAGGGCCTATGAGAAGCCATAGAGTAAACCTGTGTAAAATCAGGGAAGCCTGTGTGCGGTGGCTCTGGCAGAGCTGGATGTGGCACAGCAATCCGAGGGGAGTGCGCGTGAGGTGTGGGGGCAGGCGGGAGAAGAGGGAAAAGGGATCATTTTGGTCTCCCAGGGGGCCCTCTTCTTTTCCTACTCATGAATATCTGGCTCATATGGTGAAAAACATCCAAACAGAGAATTTCATGGAGGCTATTATGGGATTTGTGAATTTAAAAAATCAGTGTTATAAATACTCATAATTTTGAGCTACATTTGCTACTATAATGATTAGTAAAATTTAAAAAATCATAAGGGAGTGTTAAAATAGTCAAGCCCGGGGCTGCAAAGGCCTGGGCATGCTGTTTTCTAATTCCAAAGGAAGAGCTTGGAGGACCCAACAGAGAGGTTTTGAACATTCTACACTCGTGGATTCCTCAGGGTGGTGCTGTCCCTATCAGCAGGGGAGTAACTACCTGATAGGTGTGTGTCAACTGCTCATAGGGGTTTCTTCAGATGTTTAATGAGTACATGACTTGACTTCACAACCAAGATCCTTCTGCTCCGATCCCCACTTAAGACTGGAGATAAGGGATGTGACCACTTTCCCTCCTCCTTGCTCCCCCAATACATCCATGGGAGCCCCTTGTTCCCCTTCAGACACAGCATGGCTTCTGGGCACTGAGTGTTTACCCCAACAGCAAGGTACCAGAATCCTTCCCAAGACTGGGAATTTCATGTGAGATTTTATTCTCTTTCTGAATGACCCTGCCAGTGACTCCTCTCCTGTTCCCAAGATATTTAGGAGATGAAAATTTCAGAGCTGTGTCCAGGGAGTTGGCTTCTGCTGTCCTGGGTGTCTGAGGGCACCATTTCCTAGACATGTAATCAGTTGCTCTAAAAATGAGAATTTAGAGGTGAAGGCACTAAAGACAGCTTCCCTGTGAACCCTTCCAGTCTTGATAGGTCCCACACTTGCCTCCAGGTACCTCAGAATACTGAGGCCCAGGTGTCACAGGAGGATGATACCTAGTGGCCTCTCCATCCCACAAGGCATCACACGCTCCTAGGTAAACAACCTTTCTCTTCACTGTTGTAATTAGCACACACATTTCTTTAAGTGACCCATGGCAGGATTCAGGGGTGGGGTGGGTAGGAATTTATTATGTGTTGGGGAAATAGAATCAAAACCAGAATCTTCTCCCAATCCCCAAATCTTCCCCACGAAGGGAGTAGAGAAAAGAAACATTAAATCAGAATGTAATGAGCATTACAGATAATGTGCTAAGAAATTACCAAGACAGAGGGAAAGGAAATCTCACCCTTTCATAGAGTTGTGTTAGTCAGCATCACTGTGACCAAAATATCCAATATAAACAACTCAGAGGAGGAAAGGTTTATTTTGTCGCCCAGTTTCAGAGGTTTAGTCCGTGGTTGGTGGCTTCATTGCTTTAGCCCAAGGGAGGCAGAATGTCATGGTAGAGGCGTGGGGTGGAGGAATACTGCTCACCTCAAGCCCACCAGGAGGCAAAGAGAGAGGAAGGGGCAGGGGCCACAGGGAAGATGCACCCTCCAGGGGTCCTCCCAGTGACCCACCTCCTCCAGCCATGCCCCACCTGCCTATAGTTACTCCATTTAAAGGGTGGACTGATCAGGTCACAGCTCTCATTGTCTATTTTTTTTTTTTCACTTCAGAATATTCCTGCAGTAACACAGGACCTCAGGGGCACACCCCATAGCCAAACCCTAACAATAGTCATGAAGACACACAGTAGATATTTGTTCTCAAGATTATTGCTTTAATAGTGAGTCCTCCAGTAAGAGCACTTTATGTCTCCATCCCTCACTCATGACTCATCCTGGGGTCCCATGGCGACTGGGATGGCCACCTGAGTTAGAGAACTGACTTCACCCAAAGGAAAAACAAGCTTCTATCTTTAGGATGGGGGTAGTTTAGGAATCTGGAGTTAGGTACCCCTGAAGTCAGACTCAGTCTTTTCCTGGACATAGGGGCATTATCTTCTCAGATGCTTCCATTTCAAGGAAGTGGTTCCCAGGTCCTTAAGAAAGACATTCCTTGGCCATTAAACTCACAAAAGATCTGTTCAGTCTTCAAAAAGATTTATCTACATTTTGAAGAAGGAGGAGAATATTTAGAAATACAAAATTTCTAATCAAATACTCTTAAAAATACATGGTTATTTTCAACATGGAGAATTTTTCCTTACAAAGGGGACATTGACATGGGTTATCATTTGACAGCACAGCCATTAGCCACAACCTGGTTACCTTAACTGTGATATTTCACTCAAAAATTTATGTAAAACAATGTGGGCATTAATATATTTTCAATTTCTCATTCTCTTTCAAGTCATTCATTGTTTTCTTTATCACTATTTAGTACCTTGAACTAGATTTACCAGTCTTTTGGAAATGGTAGTTGACAAAACCACATCCTAGAAATACAGTGTAATAGTGAATCTTTGTAGTAGTAATCTGGTATAATTACAGAGTATTCTGCTTTGTCTCATATAAGTCATATCTTATTCCAGGTGCAGTATTTTTATCATGCTCTATGTTCCTAGAGACTTGGTATATATTAATATTTATTTTTATTTATTTATTTTTTATGTGGTGCTGAGGATCGAACCCAGTGTCTCATGCATGCGAGGTTGCACTCAACCACTGAACCATAACCCCAGCCCCTTAATATTTATTTTTTAGTTGTAGTTGGACACAATACCTTTATTTTTATTTGTTTATTTTTATGTGGTGCTGAAGATTGAACCCAGGGCCCCAGATTTGGTATTTATAAATGCAAATATGATATTACTTTAAAAGCCAGACCTCGATTTATAAGTAAAACTAAGAATCAGAATCAGTTGATTTCTTAAAAATATAGATTTTATCAATATTTTGAATAGGAGATATATTTAAAACACAAAAGGTGAAAAGGGTTTATAGTTCAAAGTACCTCTGTCCCCAATGTCACCAAACCACTGGGGTACCCTTCCTCCCCAAAACACATGGTCCAACTTCTTACATATTCCTCTAGAGACAAACCACAGGTTTAGGTAATATCATGTGTGCACAGTTTACTATTATTATTTTTTCTCAAAAACCACAAATGGTACCACACTCTATACACTGACCTGCCCTTTTACTTTTTACTAATTCATTGTCAGAGATTGTCAAAAATAGCAATAATATTGGATTTCTTTTTTACCCTTTGAATTCAATGCTTTCATTGTTTCCTATTTAACTTGATTTTGGATTTGAAATTTAGATAGCTATATTTTATGTATCTAACATATTTTTATACGTTAAAGAATCAGTCTCCTTCTGTTTTTATCCTATTAAGAATCTTCATAAAGCACATATATTTAATTTTGTCATGTAATGTTCCAGGTGCTCTGCATTGCTGTCCAGCAAAGTGCTCTCTGGTGATGGGGTCTGATAATGGACGTGTTCAGCGGTTGCATGGTGCAACATGATACCTGTCAATCACACGTGGGTGTTGAGAATGTGATATGTGGCTAGTGAGATGAAGAAACTGTACTTTTAATTTTGTTTAATGTTAATTTTAAATAGCGGCTGTGGCTAATAATTATTGCATTGTACAGTGCAGGTCTAAGAAATTTCTCCCTGCAATCTGTTAATATGGCCAAATATATTAATATATATTTTTAAAAATGTGGACAGCTGGAATAAGTCCATTTTGTCAAAAAGTAGAGCTCTAGCATTTTCCTGGGCTGGGAGTTTAGCTCAGAGGTAGAACAGTTGGATTTGATTGATCCCCAGAACTGCAAAACAACAACAACACAACAAAAAACAAAACAACAACAAAAAACCCCCAAAAGAAAACAACCCCCCCAAATCTAACAGCCAAATAATAAATAAAATTTCCTTGATTTTAAGAAATACAAAATGAATATCTATAGAAGTTTATCTGCCTACCACTTTAGACTCAGCCTGCCTGAGCTTGTTCTGAATTTTTCTTTCTCTATGACTAATATATTTCTGACCTATTTCTTAGGTGTGGTTGATCACTTGTACTTTGTTGGAAAGAAAAAAAAAGGAAAAGGAACAAATAATTTGAGCAGGTCATTCCTTTATTGCTAATTGATTTAATAGAATCACAGAATTTAGAAATATAAGAAGGGTCCCAGATATCACCTCAATTGAAGGAAAAGTGGGTGTCTAGGTTGATGAGTTTGAAGAGAATGTGATTTGCTTTGGTTCATCCAAAACAGGACAGAAGCAATCGTGTCCAATTTAGAAGATGAGGTATGGATTGTTTTAATCTTCACATTGAACGTTTTGTTCTCCAAGGAAATTTTTATAAGAAAAAAAAAAAAGAAGAAGAAAACTGGTTCATATGTGTGTGCAGAAAGAGAGAAAAGAGAGGCTCCTACAACCATCGCATTCTTAGTGGGGACTCTGAGGCTGAAAAGAAAATGAATATACAAAGGACGTGTTATTTCCAGCCTCAGTTTACCTTTTGCTCTGTGACTGGTCCTCATAAGAGAGACAGAGGCATCCTACTTAAGGGGAAGAGACTCTGCCAAAGAAGAGGATGCTGTCGGTCTTCTTTTGCTTGATGAAGAACAGGAAGGGGTGGTCACAATAAAAACTAACAGGGGGCATTGGGGCGGACGTTACTTCAACTACTACGCCCGTGGCGGCCGCAGCCTCCGTGCCCTCTTCATTCACTTCCACAAAGGACTTGTGCACAACTTTGGACACCGAAAGGCCCTGTGTCCCTGTCATGCCCGAGAGGTCAGCCTTTTTTGGACAGAAGACGTCCTCCATCCCCATGGCTCTCAATATGGTCACGAGGTCGTAGGTCTCTTCCACTTTGAATCGAGGGAGGCACACATTGACTTTAGTCATCTCCATGCTCCCTGGGCTGGTCCACTCCATTAACTTCTCAGCAGTGAGTTTGTCTTCAAGCTATAAAGATGGAAAAAAAAAAAAAAAAGAAACTGACATGATCAACTTTTGGACTCTGGCACACTTTAACAATGAATGGAATACGTGGGAAATTTTGAGTTTAGCAATAAATGCAACCTACACAGTTGATCCAGTTTATTAGACATTATTCTAATAAGCAAAAACAGCAGGCCTGAACATATATGAAGACTTATTTGATTATATGTGTTCACATGTACAAACATGTATGTACAAATAGAATTACATTATTTTGAACCAAACGAACTATATATCACTACTTCTTATGCCATCTGTCTTCTGTATGTGTCATTTTGTAGACTTTTTATTTTCTTGCACACATTATTTATTACATACTGCAGTCATAGTACATGACCTATTTTTACTCTTAGTTCTTGCTTGATATGTTTTTAAACATTTCTCACATTGGTATATATTTCTCTGGGTTTAATTGTAGCTTGTTGCCATCAAACTGACATTTAAGGTGTATGGCTCTACTTAAATGATAATAAATTAAGCCTGTGTCAGGCTGTAAGCTAAACTATTTATAATGTAAAGATGTACTGGGGATTGAACCCAGGGGCACTTAAACATGGAGCTATATCTGCAGCCCTTTTTATTTTTTTATTTTGAGACAGGGTCTCATATAAATTGCTGAGGATCTCACTAAGTTGTTGAGGTTGGCCTCAAACTTGTCATCCTTCTGTCTTGGCCTCCTGAGTTGCTGATTACAGATGTGTGCCACTGAATGATCTGATTCAGTGACTGAGTCATTGTTCCTTGTTTTGAACTTTTTATTATTCGAGGCACCTTGGCTTCAAAGTTTTTGTCTTGTTTAGACTTAAAGAGTTACCATGGGGGAAAAATCAGGCAATAGAAGGAAGAAAGGTCAATGCGAGTGTTACCTCCTGCAGGCCATCTGCTTCATTGGGCAGCAGCAGGACCATGCTCAGGTCATTGCCTTTGTATGGTATTTCCAGGATCTTGGCCTGCACATCCTCCAGGAAGGCAAAATTAAAATGCCCGCTTTTGGCCATCATCTGCACAGATTTGCTCACATTCTACAATAAATTAAGGCATCAAATAAATACCAAGTTAGACAAAAAGATAATATTAATGAGACACCAAACACATCCCTCTCTTTTGGAGAAACAACTCAGGAATTTTGAGCAATAAAGACAGAAGTTACTATTTTTGCAGGCACTCCTAACTAAATAAAATTATAAGAATAAAACAAAACAATATCTGCTTGTTCACGGCATGCTCTACTGTAGTGGTCCATCCCATCAGATGCGTCTAAATTTAACTTTCCACATGCAATACCTTATTCTGCCAGAACTTTGCTTCTGTGGTCAATTCCTTTTTAAATTCCTTATCCCACCGCCCTTTGAAGTAGACTGCATTCACCAGAACCAGTCTGGTGGTTTGGTTAATACTGCCACTAGGAAATAGGTCCTTGATTTTTTCTGTAAGGGGAAAAAAAAAGGTCATCATGTAAGTACAAATGGTTTTTGGAGAGAATAGAATGCTATGCACAATTTCATGACTGGTCCTTATATTTATGTGCCATTGCTTTAGGGACTTGTGGACTGCCACCAGGTGCAGCCTTCTCATGGTGCCAGCCCTAGAGAGCTACAGGGATGGAGACAGGAAAGGAGGTGAGACTGTCTAGGGGACACTGAGGAGCTGATCTTATCTGCTGTTCAGCTTGACTCTTTCCTTCCTTCCTCTGCTCCTCCCCTTCTGTTTTCCCAAGGTGGGCCCCTCACGTGGAGAAACAGGGCCTGATTGTCCTCAAGGACAATGGCCTGAGCTCTGTACTCTGACAGTCCCCTGCTGTCAGATGCTACTCCCAGGGGTTCCTTCCTCCTCTTCAGTCTCCTGTAGAACTGCTGCAAGTATGGCCTATAGTAAGGGGTGGCACTAGTTGTCCATAGAATGGAGGCTTTGAGAAGCTCTCTGCAGTGGGTAGAGGAGACCCTGGGGTAATCCCTGCAGGAGGGTTGGTGGAGGTGTGCTCCAGGCAGTGACAGCTCAGTGGCAGGAAGCCTGGTCTCCAGGTGGGCTGCCTGTTCCAGATGAGTAAGAGGAAGGAGCTCTTTGGACTGTTTTCTTCTAAAGACTTATAATCAACACTTGGCTCTGACCTCAAGAAAATCTCAAAACGGGGCTGAGTGGGAATTTGGGGTCCACAAAAATAGTGTCAGCCGGGGGCCATGTGCAAGTAGCTTTGCAGCCATGTCTTCACCTAATTGACCTCCTTCACTTCTCTCCCTCCCCCTAGATCTCTCCACATTTATTGGGACCATCTGCCCTGCCTCCTCCATCCTCTCTGCAATTCCAATAACACCCCACCCAGGACTCCCTACCATGTCAAATCTGGGGCTTCCTCACAGGATAATCAAAAGTTTCCGCCATGAGTAGCCCTCCCATACTCTACCATTTGTTTGGCTTTCCACCCAGGAATTAATCTTCTTTCGACTTTCTTCTGGAGCATTTTTGAAATCAAGGGATTCCACAGTGGCTAGGTAAAATTTCTTAATCCCATCCAAATATTCCTTTGAAGTGGAGGAAGAAAGAAGGAATTAAGAAAGATTTATGTGTCACCCCATTTAATTATTTACAATTAAAGTAAGCTGAACCCAGACCCTGGCCAGAACCACTATCTCTGCACTTGTATATTTGTATACAGGCACCATGAGGGCAACTGTGCAAGGAGAGTGCAGGATTCCTTGAGGCTCAACACCCCCTGGCAAAACCCTGGGGAAGAAGAGGCTGGGGTTTGCAAATTTCAGTGCAAGTTAAAGGAGATCAATCACGTGGGAGACTTCTCACCAGTGAGCTCTACCAGTGCGTCTCTCATCTGGGTTTATATTCCCTGGTGCTTTCCCGGCCCCCTCCAGGGGCCCATCCCAGTCTGCCTGTTCCAGAAATACCCCATTAGTCAGACATTTCCCACAAAAGGCGTTCTCTGTGACGGAGTCAGTGCCTGTTCATTAATGGCATCTCCTGTCTTATCTTTCCCCTGACCCACACTTCATCTGGGCCTGGTGAGGGACCGGATGCTCTAGCAGTCAGAGCTGTGATAGAGCTGCCTCCCCTGGGGCCAGAGCTGCCCAGGAGTCAGCCAGAAGCCTCTGTCTGGCTTTCCCCCATTTGGCCATCCAGAGACATAGGACCAGGAGGCAGACTCCAGGTGTGGAGAGCCAAGTGGAATTACCTGAAGAAACTGAAACTCCTTTTCTCCATAGACTCTGTTGGCGATCTTCAGGATGTAGGCATCACTGGGTTTGTTTAATTCAGTCAGAAACTTTTCAATCTCGTGGTGCACATTTCCTGACTCTCCCGCCTTCAACATCCAAAAAAGATGCTCATTGAATTACCCTGTCCATGTGTGTGCTAATCTCTCATGAAGTCACTTAGATCAGTACCAACACTTATGTCTATAATCTCAAAGATGACCTCTGGCTTATTCTCTGATATTTGCTGTATTTACCTCAAATACCCTGAAGAATTTACCTTACATTCAACTTCTTCCAGGAAATTCTTTGCTCCAGCTCTGACATATTCTGATCTGTTCTCTTCTGAACTAAAGGGCACCATTGGGTATCCTCTCAGTAGTTTAAATAATTAGGTTTATCTTTCCAGATAAAATTGGAGTTCCTTAAGGTGCAAACCTTATTTCACTTCTAACAGCTACCAAGCATATGGTCATGTTGAAGTTTGGATATTTTAAATGCTATGACATGAAGCCCTGATGTAGCCCTTGGTGCGATCATCTTCTAAGACTTGTTGACTGTCATCTGTCATGTGATGGTCATTCTCTGCATGTAAGCACACCTTGAGCCTGGTATTCAGCTAAGAGCAGCCTGTAGGTCATCTGAATCTCAGTCTAGCTGAGATGAAAATAAAAAAGCTCAGTGATTAAATAGCCTAAGAGACAGAGTGAGTAGCCAAGTTTTAAACTGAAGTCTATCTGAATCTGGAAATTTCTATTTAGTAGCTAAGAGTTTTGTTCTGTCAAAGCCCTAAACAAATATATCTGCTAGCCATCATTTTCCAAAATATAATTGAACTTGTGCTTATTCCTTTTCATTTTAATTAAATCAGTTAAACTATTTTAGTAACATTATTGTGAGTGTGATCATTAGCTCACATTAATTATGACCTCTTATTTACAGTAGGCTGGGCCCTGTTGCCAGCGTTTGCAGATATTGGGTCAGATTCTTTTTGGTTGACTGGGATGAGCTCATTCTGACTCAGGGCAGTAATGAATTGCTTATGTTCACATTTGTGTAGAATGGAGCTGGTCTATCTGGTGTCCGACTTGAGTTCTTAAGTTCCATGCTGACCTTCTCTGAGTAAAACTCTAACTTGAAAGTAATAATTATGAAAATAAAATGTGAAACTGTTCCGTATGTCCTAAAGTCTTTCATCTAGGATTTTCCATTCCTCGGAGTTTATGTGAAATTCCCTGTTAAAACTAAGACCCTCTCAGATACTTCAGATATCTAGAGCTCTCCCAGGACCAGAATACTTACATGAGGGGCTGTGGGTTTCTTTGTTGCTTTTTCTGTGATTTCATTGAAATGAAGGACCTGGAAGAGACAGGATCTGGGTCAAGACAACTTTACTCAAAAGATCTGTGAATCCAGAGTAGAGAAAAAGAGAACAAAACCCTCAAAAAAGGAAGAGAACAAAACGTAAAGACACTGAAAGCACCCAACCCCAGAACTTCAGGGTATGAATTTGTTCTTTGAAAAAACAAAGAAAAGCTGGTTTATCTCCAGATACGTTGAAGAATGTGCCTTCGTTGTTCATTGGGGAGACCTTTGGTGATGGGTCCCTTGGATTTGGTTTAGTCAGCCCGTCACTTCGCCTTCTCAGCTCTGGTTGATGGGCAGTGGTGGGGGTCATCAAGAGAGGGCAGCTTTGGGGAGGGGGTGTCTCCCCAAGAGCTCTGTGATAACACAGCCCTGGAAAGTCTGCTGGGCATCTTGTGTTACCCACCAGGTCCCCAGAGCTGCGACCGTCCCTGTGTGTGTGAGCCAGCCCAGTGAAGAGGAAAGCTGGGCAGGTCCTGCGGGTCAGCTGACGCCTACCTTCTCCATCTGCAGGGCAGTGTTCCCCCTGGCCCCTAGGTCGAGCATGGCCAGTGCTGACAGGATGCTGACCGGGGAGTAGAAGACGTTGTCCCCGTCCTTCCTCAGCTGCCGGAACAGGTCAAGGGTGAACTTGGTGTTGGCCACACTGAGTGAACTCATGGTGACTGGATGGTCGGGAATTCCTAGGAAAGCAGTGGATCCAGCTTAGAAGGACTTTATTGTCATGGAATTTTCTTAAAAATGACTTATCTGGGTTGTGGAACTCTGGCCATTAAGATTTTTACCCTTTTTACCTTCCAAGCCTTCTGAATGCACATGTGTTCATCTTCTAATTGGAAGACTCATGAAAGTACTATTGAAAAAGACTTTTGTAGACCAGTCATAGAACATCTTTATCTTTCCTGTATCTTTCCCTTATCATTGGATGGCTAGGTCTGGGGAGAAAGGCTTTATTACAAATGCCAGGACAAGGTTTCCTGGGGCCAACATGCAGCCAGGTTTCTGGAAGAAACTCTCTGACTTTTCTTTGAAGCTCTGAGGCTGACCCCCCCGCCTCCCCCAACTCCACCACATGATTGTAAGCATGGATCAGTTTTCTTTGAAATATATCTTTTTAGATAAAGACCAAATTAGGTCAACGGGGTACGTTAATTTTTTTCTCTGGAAGAATAAGTACAATACAATAAGACAAAGTACATGCATGATAGAAACCACATCTCTGTTTTGATCTTCGAAAGGAATTCCTGCTAAGCCGTAGTGGCTGGAAGCACTCACCTGTGTTCCTGAAGAAGCCGATGTGGTTGGGAGCTGTGAGCCTTGATGTGGTGAAAGGAAGATCCTGGGTATATAATCCTCCTCCTGCAAAGGCTGCCTCATCAATTCAGTTGTCTTTCAAGTAAATCAACTTCAGATTTCTCAATCACTTAGCCCACACTTCCTGAGCATGACAATTTATGAGAAAAGACAGGTTACTGTCCTACTGCTGTGTTTCCTTTGTCTTTTTGTGGGGACAGTTAAGAAACTGTAATCTTTGGTAATCATTGACTCATTTTGAATGCATGGAAAGGTGCTTTTCTAATACCAATGACGATGTGTTAGATATTCCAACTTCCTCATTGTCTTCAATTCCATCCTCTGTACATTTCCTCCATCTTAAAAAACAATCTTTTTTTTTTCTTTTGATGTTGAACTGTTTTAAGGTACACTTTGGACACACAAACACCTACAATGTTTACTTATGTTTGTGATTTTTCAATTTTGAAAGGCTCCACTCATCCTTTCTGTAGGAATTACTTTGTATACCCAGGAAAATCGATCTTATTCTAGTGCAAAGAGGCACTGAGGAGGTCTCTGCAGACTCTGGGAACAGGGTCCTACCCTCATGCTCATTCCCGACCCTCATGCTCTGCCTTGCCCCTGGTTCTCCCTGTCTCTTCCCATGTCTCCTGCAGCCATCCTGACTTTTCTGATGCTTGAGGTCTGTGAGGACACTTATTTGCCTTGCTACATTGACAAGCGGCAATAGTAAGAACGATCGAAACAGAGGCTGTTTTGAACAGCAGTCTTCTAATTTCCCATACACAGTCAAACAGAAAAATGAGTTGTTTGGGGTGTCATGATCAGACTATAGCTCTGTCCCCCCTTCCCCTCCCCACCCATCCGGGACAGTAAGCACCCTGGCTTCAGACTCATGGGCTGGATGCCAGGTCGAATACCTGTCAGAAATACCAGGTGGAGGTGTTCTTTGGATGCTGTTGTTATGTGCATATTCCTCTGGAGCCTCGTCCTCTGCAGATGCGTGGTGTTCCTGCAAGCAGACTAACGTCGATGATGGCTGTCTTCTATTGGGTCAGAAGATATTTTCACTTACACCTTAGAACTCAGGAAAGTAGGTCCATTTGCTATCCCCATTTCACACTGACAAACTGAGACAACTGTTGGACTAAGTCACATAGCTAGTGAATTGCACAGGTGAGATTTCAAGGCAGGTAGTCTGGCTGAGGAACCGTATTCGTCCATGGTCCATGGCATAGGAGCTAGGAGAGAATGGTGGGGGACATCCTGAGACACCCAAGAACATGGCATGTGGGGAAATGAGTGGTGATGGGAAAATGAGTTCCTTTGAGTGTGGAGCTCAGAGAGACAATAAATTCCTGCTCAATTGTGTTAATCCGTTTTTCAAACTATAATGAAATATTTGACACAGGCTACTTATGGACTGGGGGAGTTTCTTTTGGCTTATAGTTCTAAAGATTCAAGCCCAAGGTAGGTTGGCACATTTGTTTGGACCTCTGGAGAGGGCAGAACATCACTATAGGGACACGTGTTAGAGAAGATCACTCACCTTGTAAGTTGGGATGTAGAGAGAGGAAGAGACTGGGGTCCCACAGTCCCACTGAGAGCATGTCACCAACTCTCTAAGGAACTGCAGTAAAGTCCCACATGTTAAATCCCTGTAGCACCTCGAATACCACCATCATGGGGTCCAACATTTTATTTATGGACCTTTGAGGGACATTCAACATCTGAATTATAGCACAATGATCCATTTCCAAAACTGCTCTATCTAGTTGGAATTTAGAAGAAATGAGAACTTTTGAGAGAAAAAAATTAGAGGGTAAAAGAAATAATGTTTTCACTGGACTGAACTCTGTGCCCTGAGGGATGTATGAGGCTAGGAGAGAGCCATTGTCCCCAGTAGATCTGGCTAAATGACCACAGGGAAGGGGCTTCTTGTTCTGAGGAACCATTTCTCACAGTCATATAATGCATATACCATAAGACTCACCACCTTAGACAACAGTTCACTGATATTTTTAGTATGATCAAAAATTGTTGGAATCATCACCACAATCTCATTCCTTTCATCATCTCTTAATGAAAACCCGTATTTCATTCTTTTCTTCAGACCCTGCAAACCACTGATCTACCTCCTGCATCTACTGATTTGCCTGTTTTAAATGTTGCATATAAATGGAATCAGGCAATATTTGTCCTCTGGTGACTGACTTCTTCCAATTGGTACGTTTTCAAGGTTCCTCCATGTTGTAGTATGGATCAGTGCATCATTCCTTTTTATGACTGAACAATATTCCTTCGTATGAATAGACTATGTTTTCTTTAGCCATTCATCATTGATGCAAATTTGTATCGTTTTTATTTTTTGGTTACTATGAATAATGCTGCTCTGATCGTTCATGGATACCTGCATTTGGTGTAGCATGTCTTCATTTTTTTGGGGGGATATATACCTACAAGTGGAATCACTGGGTCATGTGGTAATTCTGCTTAACATTTTGAGGAAATGCCAAGACATGCTCTTTTGGGTCTCTTTTACCAATGTGTGTGCATCCCCGAGGAGGTTGTGAAATACAAGTTTCCTGAGTTGAGTTAGGGCATGGTCTTATGGATTGTTGGTGAACTAAGGATTTGTCCAAAGAAAGAAGCAAAAGAAATGATAAGATACCAAGATGAAGAATTCCACACATGAAGAATGTGGTCTCCTCGGCTGAGCCTTTACCATGGCTACAGCCACAAGACAGCAGTGACCTTTCCTCTATGGAGCAGGAGGGGGTCACTTGGATTCCATAGGGAAACAGCATTATCTTCCCTGTGGGACAGAAACAGGAAGCTCAGCCTGGAGGTGGAAAGGAGCAGTAGAAAGACAACCTAAGACAGAGTGAGGTTCCAGGTGGCCAATCTTTGGAAGATAACTTTAGACTAAAGCTAAATTGTTTCGAGATGAGGAGTTTGTTATGAAGAGATTAACACTGAAGAAATGTTACTAACTGATAACATCTAGGAGATTGCCTAAATTGAGACAGAGCTGGGATTAGTTTAAATGAGAAATCATTCCATGCTTTTCTTCTGTTCCTGAAAAGTGCTCCTGGCATGGGACAGGATTGTCAAGGAGATGCATAAATCCTCAGGATGTTTTGAATGTGAACCCTTGCCAGTTTATGTTGTTGATATTTAATAAAGCTATGCCAATTTCATTGGTTCTGGGAATCAAGTAATAAAATGAAATCTATAGGAAATTGTTCTTTCAGGAAGCATCCTGCTATTACCAATGTCTTTACATGTTGGTGAAGAAGTATCTCCTAGATTTTTCCAGAAACTTACCTCTTGGCACAGTGTGTGAAATATTCTCAGCATTGTTAAGTTGCAAACAAATTAGAGAGATCCTTTTATTACTTCCTTCTTCCCAAGAATGTGCCCAGGCCTGTCTACAGGGAAGTAGTTAGTGGGGAAGATTCTTCAAGCATCAAGTTATAGAGTATGAGCCAGTTACTGTGTTTCCTAGGCTCTCCCTGCAGACATAGGTATAGATAGGTATGTGCTGAATAACTTCAGAGCAAGAGTAATTGGCTTTCCTTTTTAGTTTCCACAGGGGAAAAATAACCCCAGTAAGTTTAAAAAGAAGTTGGGCAACGAGCCTCATAGGTAAGTTCATCATGGAATGCAGACGGAACTGCACCATCTCCCCATCCTCCTCTCTTCCTGCTCCAGCAACACCCAAGACAGACTTGTCCTCTATGTTTTCAAGCAAATCTCACCTTTTTCTTCACTGATCTCTTATGAGTCCCTCCCTGATTGCTCTTGACATCCTTGATTTATTGCCGGCCTTTTCTAGAATGTCCCCTTCCTCTTTGTTTTCTCTGAGATGGATTGCCTCCATGCCTGGATCTCCCTTAATCTTTTCTCATGAGTCCTGCTCACCCCACTGTCCATTCACCGTGCGCACAGGAACCACGGCCTTCTCTTGTACTCCCACGCCTGTTCTGACCACTGTCCTCTCCCTTTCAGGGTCCAGTCTTAATTTCCTGGCCATCAAGTACACACCATGGACCCCCTTGCCCTCTCCCATGTGCCTCCTTAACATTCACTCTGTGGTCTCTTGCCTTTCAACCCCCCTGCCCCCTGCATTTCTATTTTTCACTTAACTGCTTTAACTACTCTGAGTGACTTCAAAGCTTTCACTTGATTGATGACCAATGGCATCTCATTCTTCTCTTTGTATATGTACTTCTGTTTTCTACTTGAATTTCTTTTTTGGTGAATTGTCTTTCTTTTGCTCTTTTGTTCATGAGAATACTGGTATTTCCTTATGAAGTTGCATATGATTTTTACATAAATCAAATGTACCATACACACCTATTGAGAATACTTTGTCCCCAAATAGCAGATTGTACATTTGTCTCAAATGAACATGGAATATCCTTGAGTATAAACCATATATTATACCACAAAAAATCTTAATGAATTTAAAAAAAACCTTGAAATATCAACTATCTTTTCTGATCACAGAGGAATCAATTTAGAAATTGAGAGTAGTAAACAGGAAAAATCAAGAATATGTGGAAGCTTAAACATATACTACAAAGCTATGATAACCCAAACAGCAAGGTGCTGGCATAAAACCAGACACATGGACCAGTGGAACAGAATAGAAAACCCAGAGATAAACCCACATATTTACAGCCCACTGATCTTCAATAAAGGCAGCAAATATGTACATCAGAGAAAGGAAAGGCCCTTCAATAAATAGTGCTGGGAAAACAATATCCATATGCAAAAGGAAGAGGCTAGTTCCCTCTTTCTTGCCATATACAAAGATCAACTCAAAACGGATGAAGGCCTTACATGTAAGACCCAGAAACTTCAAAATGACCAGAGGGAAATATAGGGGAAGCGCTTTATGACATTGGTGTGAGCTATAAAACCCAAACACAGGCAATGGAAGCAAAAACTAACCAATGAGATCGTACCAAACCCCAAAGCTTCCATAGAGCAAAGTAATAAGAGATGAAGAGGAAACCTACAGGAGAAAATATTTGCAAACTATTCATCTGACAAGGAAGTAATTTTCAGAATATAAGAGGAACTCAACTTGACAGAAACAAAATGATCTGATTAAAAATGGATGAATGACCTGAATAGAGATGGCTTAAAAAAGGGTACACACTTGGCCAATAAGTATATGAAAAAATGCCCAACCATGCCCATCACTGGAGAAGTGCCAACCAAGACCCTGAGATAACGTTTTGCCACCCTTAGAATGGGTATTACGCCCTGCATGGAAGCATAGAGGAAACTCATATTCTGTTGGTAGGACTGTCAATTAGTAGAGCCATTACAGAAAATGGCATGGAAGTTCTTAAAAATATTAAAAATAGAGCTGCCATATGTTCCAGCAATCCCACTACTGGGTATATATCCACAGGAAATGAAGTCAGCAGGATAAAGTGAATCTACACTCACATATTTAGTGTAGCATTATGCACAATAGCCAGGATATGAAATCAATTGAGTTGTCCATCAGTAGATGAATGAATAAGAAAATATGGTACATATATATACACAGGGAAGTGCTGAATATGATCCTCTTATTAGCAATATCAAGAATGGAACTGGAGATTGTTTTGCTAAGTGAAGTAAATACGTACTGAAAGACAAGTACTGCCGATCTCACTCATATGTAGAATCTAAAAAAGATGATTTCAAAAAAGTTGAGGGTAGAATCATGGTTACCAGAGGCTGTGGGCAGAAGTGGGGAAAAGGGATGGGGAAGTTGACCAATGGCTACCAAGTTACAGTTAGATAGAGCAAGAAGCCCATTGTGATATTATTGCACAGTACGGTGAGTATAGGTAACAATAATGTCTTTACATTTTTAAAAGAAGAAAGGAATTTTAAATTTTCACTATACAGAAAGAAATAAATGTTTGGGAGGATAAACATGCTTACCTGGTTCCACATCATGCAATGTATACATTGTATTAAACATTACATGGTATCACATTAACATGTACAACTTTTTATGTTTTTATGAATCAATTAAAAGTATGTACTGTATAAGACAATATACCATATTGACTTTAAAAAGTCACAATGAGTACTCGTTAGGGTGGTTAGTGTAAAAAGATTGAAAATTATAAAAAGAGTGAGTATGTGAAGAAATTGGAAACTTTATGTATTGCTGGTAGGAATGTAAATTGATGCAACAGCTGTGGAAATCCATACAGTGTTTCCTCAACATCTTAAACATAGAATTACCAAATTATCTAGCAATTCTGCTTTAAGATGTATACTCAAAGAATTTGAAAACTGAGACTTAAGTGTATATGAGTACTAACATTCACAACAGCATTATTAACCAATGAGACTGTACTCATTTCCACAATAGCCAAAAGGTGTTAACGACTCAAACATGTATGTGTATTTTTTTTTCCAGTACTGGGAATTGAACCTATGGGTGGCTTAATGCTGAACTACATCCCTAATCCTTTTTTAAAAGTTTCATTTTGGGACAGGATCATGCTAATTTGCCAAGGCTGGTCTCCAACTTGTGATCCTCCTGTCTCAGCCTCCTGGTTCTATGTGTGTATAACGAATGGGTATACAAGGTATTAAACACACACACACACCCAGAGAGAGAGAGAGAGAGAGAGAGAGAGAGAGAGAGAGAGAGAGACATTAGGTCTTAAAAAAGGGATGTAATTTCTGATACAACTTAAAACAGGGATGAACCCAAAACATTGTGCTAAGTGAAATGAGATGGAAACCAAAGGACCAATATTGTTTAATTCTACTTATGTGAGGGACCTAAAATAGTTGAACTCAGAGGGACAGAAAGCAGAAGAGGGTCATCAAGGTTGGGGCCAGGAGAATGGCGAAACCTTGTGTAATGGATTTTGGGTTTCAGTATGCGATGAGGCAAAAGTTCTGCAGGTGGACAGGGGTGACGGTGGCCCATGTACTTAATGTAGCTGAATTTGTATAGCCAAAAAAACAGTTAAAAGGGGAAACTTTATGTTATGTGTATTACTATAATATAAGAAATTTTGGGAAAAAAATCCCTTTGGTGATTTATCAGCAGCCTCTGGGTAAGACCTTCTCTGTTCCTAACCGAATTTTCTGAAACATTTTTCTTTGTTGAGCTCTCTTCCTGGAAATTCTGTCTTCATTCTCCTAAACACCCCTGGCTTTCTCTCCTCGGCTTTTCTCCACGGCCACCCATCCCAGCCGACATGATTCCCCAGGCATTGATCTTCCCTCCTTCATTCTCCACTGGTCCACTGGTCTGGTCCCTTTTGGAGGCTTCAGTTGGAGGCTCCATAGTCTATGTCTCTCAGCCTTGTCCCCTTCCCTTCCGTTTCTCCCACCTGTAAGTTCTATTCCTTTCTCTGCCATCTCCTGCTCCTTTAGTAAATCTCATCCCCTCTATTCATTTTGGATCAATCCTTAACATTTCAGATTGATACTTTACATTATGCCAACACGCCTCTGTGAAAAATTTATTCTTATTAAAAAAGGTACCTAGTTTCCATCAACCGGCTCTTCCCAGTGATAGCAGATTTCATAAGGCAGACAAGTTGGTCTCTATTGGTTAAAAGACAGTCTTCCAAACAACAATATTGGTTCTACTAAAATGTTCACAGAGCCACAGCTCAGAAGAGGTGGGAGCTAGGGTAACTTTTCTCTCTAGATTCACAGTATGATTCTACATGGTTAATTTTGCTTCTCTAAAAGTTATTTTTTTTAAAATTACCCAAATAGCAGATGCTTGATATAGTAAGCTAAAACAATTTAAAAATATATGTAGGAAAGTATGAGAGGAGAATTCTTACCATGTCCTCAATGAATGATCATGGAAAAACACGCTTGTTCTCATTCATCACATTAAAGATGAAGCAGCAATAAAAATCCAACTTTCATGTTTAAAAATTATTAACCAAAATCTAAATATATTTACTATGCATTTTCCATCATATACCAATAACAAGTGTAGTTTAATTCAAGCCTGATGAACTCTCTGAACACTTGGAATAAAATTGTCAAGAGACACAAGAATATTCCATATCTTAAGTTTACCTACACAGTTTTAGTGCAGAGAAGAATAACAGGGTTGTTAATACAAGACTTTTGAATATAAAAAGTATATTAAATTAGGAGAAAATTCTTTGGGGGAAGTGGAGTAGAAATATAATTTCAAGGTAAAAAGGAATGAGGTAAAATATCCAGCTGTTTAAGAGGTTTGTCATCTGCTTTTTAATATGGTGGGTGTCACATGGTCATACTCTGCTGGATGCGTGTAACTGTTTTAATTTGAAACCGCAGCCTTTACAATTTGGCAGAAATGATGTTTTTTGAAATTATTTGGAGTATGGACAAAATTTTAGGTGTCATCTTAGAAATTTGCAAAGAGCATATCCTTTAAAAATACAACAGCTACAGGTGCTGTTGAGCAGAGGATTTGGAGATCACCTTCCAGGAGCCAGCCTCTCCTTGGTGATGCTGGGAACTTGTAACTGCCACATATTGCAGGCCCTGGGACCAGTCACAGTGTGGCTGCGGCTGCTGCAGACACCTAACAGCCCAAGACTTTCTGGCAAGGAAAGAAGTTTTGTTTTTTCCTCTTTTAGGCAAGAGTAAGGATGACAGGTTCCCTCCACACACCTGCCGGGGAACACACCCTGGGGTTCTTCAGAGAGGGAGGATCCCTGGAGGGAGCATGATGTCATACATTGATGGATGGGGGTGGATGATGCCATTTCATCTGATTGTGCAAAGGGACGTGGCCTTAATTTATACCTATCAAAGTCTGATGTTTATTGTTCTCCCAACCGTGTTTCTAAATCTTTAAAATTTAATTTATTTTTTTCAATTCCCTTTTATATTTACCTAAATGGTTTTATAGACTTTCTTTTCTCCCAAATTCTCTACTCATTCCATAACTTCATGACTTGAGTTGATGCCTTTGCCTCCTAGTTCATTAAAAAAAATATTCAGGACTTGGATCCTTAACTACACACTTCACATCTCGTCACTCTTCTTTCTTCTTTCTATTGTATTGTTCATATCTTCCATTTCTCAGCCACACTTCACCAGTTATAAAGCTTTCTAAATGGGTCTCCTTGTCTCTAATGGAGTCTTTCCCTGGCCTAAATTGGAAGATTCTTCGAATCTCAGACAAACCATTGCTTATAGCCACTCTATCCCAATGTGGTTCTCCATTTGTCGTTCAAGTTGTGAAGGAGTCTAGACTCTTCACCTCTGCCCTCTGGCTTTTTTCTCAAACATTTCGTGGTCCCATTTTTCCTTACATTCACCAAGGGATTTCTGATGAAGGTTCTTCGTTTGTTATCTGCAAATACTCATGGGTTCTTGAGGCCAGAGTCAAAACAATTTCATAATAATACGAAGACATCATTTGCCTTTCAACTCTAATGATTTGTGCTGAAGGTGTGCGAGGGGCGGACAGCTCTGCTGATTTATTACACAGGAAGTGTTGGCTCCCAACTGGACTAGCTGTTGTGGGTTCTTCACTGCCACACGTCCAGGACAGGAAAATGCCACTTTCTACTTCTGAGTGTCCTTGAAGGAGGTGTAAAATCTGAGCTTTATTAAAGCTCAACTTTTGTGTATACATTTTTTAATACTTTGTGTGATGAAATGAAAGATGAACATACAGCACCTTTTTACAACTTTGAAATACAGATGTGCAGGAAGTTGCCAAAACCTGTAGAAGGAGGTTCTCTGTTCTCTTCCACCAGTTTCCCCCCAAATAGTAACATTTTGCATAACTACAGCACAAGTAGAGAAGCCAGGCATTGGTGCTGGTGCAAGTCAAATGACTCTTGGGAAGAAGAGAGGATACTTCTTATTCAGAATTTCAAAGATGAATAGGAATTTGGTAAGTGGTAAGTCTGGGAGGGAGGTGCCTCACAGAGCAGGAAGAAAAGATGAAAGTTGTGGTTAGAGAAAAATAGATAATTCTGTTTCATTAAAGAAAATGATTCCAATTTCTTAGAGCAAAAACAAAACAAAAACAAAATACAGGAAGAGACACTCAATAGAAGATGAGATTGAAAGATTGGGAAGGAAAAATTGCCCAGTGACAAAGACCTTCTGAGTCATGCCGGAAAAAGCCTGAGGGTTTTTTATATGTTTTTTCCTTTGTTTTAGTTTTTATGCTGAGGTCCTGGGAGCTATTGAAGTGTTTGAAGCAGCAGGTAGCATGAATGCATTTATATTTCAGAATGATTACTGGATTTTTTGAAGATTGAAGGATTAACAGCAAGAAGCCCATTAGGAGGGTTTGTAGTAATCTATGGCAAGAAATTTGAAAGAAATATGATAGATGGAAAGATGGATAAGAAGAGAAATTCCAGAAATATGTAAGAAGGAAAAGTTTCAGGTCTTGGTTATTGACAGAGGTGGTAGAAGAAAGAGAGAAATTTGATGACTCACAAATTTCTGACTTAGGTGGCAGAATTTAATGATGGCACCATTTTGGCACACTCAGGTGGGAATATTTGAATTTGCCTTTCGAGGACACATCAAAGGTGCAGATGGCTGGTTTTACAGGTAGAGTCTGGTGATGTAATCCGATTTGGGTGTCGCTCATTCAGGAAGTTGTTAAAATAATGTGAATGTTGGAGGGAGGGCATGATATAATAATGGTGGTGGGGGGAAGGTTAAAAACTGAGATGAAGTCAGTGGTGGAAAGAGGAAAAGGAGCTGGAGTAGTTCACTGAGAAAGGTGAGAAGGGATGGGATACCAGGAGGGAGTGACACACATGTGAAATGGAAGACATGTCCAGTGCATTGGTGCCAGGCACTGTGGCCCAGGATTCCTTCACACTCGTCAGAATTAAGGGTCTTGAAGAACTTTTGTTTTTGTGCGTTTCTCTAATGATATTCACTGTAGTAGAAATTTAAGCCAAAAACCCCCCTCCTTAAATATATAAATAATATCTTAACATTAAAGTAACAATGCAACCATTGCATGTTAATATAAATTTTTCATTCACGAACCTGTTTTCCAATTACCCCACCCCAAATAGTGGTAAAAGAGGGATTTAAATTTTCATTTTTACAAATCTCTTTCAAGTCTGACAGTATAACTGATGTCTACCTAGATTTACATATCTACACACATATTTACTCTATTACTGTATGTTGTTTAGATCAAAGTACATGAAGAAACTCTGGTCTCACACAGACATGTATAATTGGAAAATATTTATAGGCAATTGACTGTGATATTGCATTTGGATACTACACCAAACCTCAAAACTGTTGGAACTGAGAATCTGCATCAAACTGGAACCCCTAATGGGCAACGACAAGTGATGAAATGTTGAATTAGGAAAATAATTCAACTATATGAGACTTAAAGGAATCATAACTATGTTGAAGTTCTGCATAACAGTAATAATCAATAGCAAATTCTTACTATTGACCTGCTATTCTATAGGCTTGAATTTATATTAGTGGATTAATTTGAGAATCACCTTGCTTAGAAACTGATATAAAAAAAAGTGGTATAAAAATGCCTAGAGTTTGTGGGAAAAGAAAACACAAAGCTGCCCTGGGCAGGGGGAACTGGTCTGCACAGAATTCTCCCTTGATGATGAGCTTACAAATCCAAAATAACTAAACCCTTAAGTGGCAATTTCCTTAGGCTATGAAATGTTGAATTAAGAAACAGAACAAACAAAAAAATCAGTGAACAAAACAGACAAAAGAGTCCACTCTCCAACAACTTCAGATAACCATATTTTTATTAAGATAATTAATAGAATTAGAGTTAATAAAATTTTGATTAGGTAAGATTTATTTATTAAATACATAAAACATTATTGATGTCATGATTAAATAGTCATGATTGAAACTACAAGGAACCCCAAATCCTGGATAGCAGGGTGCATAGAGATGGATGTTCATGAAAGAGGGGACTGAGGGAAAGAGGGAAGAGGAAGGTCAGCAGAAGGTAGCAGAACCTATTCACTGCTCTCCCTTATGAGAACCAGCAATGGTTGAGGGCAACGGTGCTTAGTTGCATGAAACTTCATATCTTTTACCCAGTAAATGGTCCAATCCAGAGCAGAGGTAAGTCAAGATAATCTATATCCCATAGCCAGAAAATTTCTGGGGCTTGTCCTTCTCATCCTCTTTTTAAAGCTATTGAATCCAGAGGAAATGCATTTTCTCGAAGAAAAATCTTTAAGCCAAAAGATTGAAAGGCTGGCCTAGGATAGTATAAGTTCATAGAATCTGAGTGTCCTGAAATTGTCCTGATCCTTTTAGTTTCAGGCAGGAAGAAGTTTGTCAGTTACTTCCTTTGAAATTTTCTAACAGCAGAAAGGGTTTAGGTTTGGGTGCAAGAAAAGCCAAAGGCCAAATGTTCTCTGTGATAAGTGGATTCTGATCCATAATGGGGAGGCATGGGAAAAATGGAGGAACTTTGATGGGGCAAAGGGACGGAGGGGTTGGGAGAGGGTATGGGGGTAGGAAAGATGTACAATCAGGACGTTGGCATTGATACAACCTACCAACCTTATTTAATTTTATGTGTATTCATGCGCATGTGTGTGTAGTGTATATACGTTTCATTCTCTGCAAAAATTCATCAAGAACAGGTTTGAATATCCATCAGGATGTGAAGACAGAGCCGTTTTTTTACATCACCATAAGGAGATTTTATATTTCCTTATAACGACTCTGCTCTTCTTCTCCTTCCCACTGTCCCTAACCTCTGGTATCCATTAGTCTATTTTCTATTTCTATGATTTTGCCATGCATCAACGTTATATAAATTGATGGATGGATCATTCCATATGTGACCTTTCAGGTCGGGCATTTTCACCAAGCATTGTTTCCCCAAGGTTCATCTCAACTGTTGCAGGCACCAGTAATCTTTTCCTTTTATCACTTCATAATACTCCATGTGCAGGGGCAGCAAAACTCCATCTTCATCTAATTAGGGTCCTGGTTGGGTCTGAGAATCAAATTGACATAAGACAGATGAACAGGAGAAAAGCATATGCATTTATCTACTGCAAGCTTTACCAGGCAGGGCAGCCCTCATAGAGAAACCAGGACCCAAAGAAGCAGGTCGAAGTAGTTACTGATATGTCGCATTGAGCAAAGAATGGTAGGTTGTAAAGAAGCAAAAGAAAAAAAACAAAAACAAAAACAAAAAAGCAAAAACCCCAAACCTGCAGAGGCTTAACAGAGTTGTTTTAACAGGGTCTGTACAGAGTTACTTTGGTTGCGGTGTCTCACCCTTGAGGTCAAGGATGCTATTGCTTTTTCCACAGGGCATCTGTCTTTTACATGAGAATTTCATCTCCTGCTTTTAAGAAAGAGCATGAGGGTCAGAATGGTCTTTTTGTTTCTACTCTTTTTCAAGTACCTTTAATGTAAAAGTCGATATGCCAGAGTGGTATACTTTTAGCTCCTTCCCATGGTCTTCCTTGCTACCAGGTAGCTACCTGGCTACCTAGTATCTCTCCAAGGAGGAGTTGAGTCTCAGGAGAAGCAAGCAAGCACATCCCTGGCTGGTTATTATTTGCAGAGCTACCAACGGCTCCCATGCCAGGGGCTCACCTGTGTTGTCAGAGGGGCTCCTGCTCCATTAGGAGAGGAGGGAGGAGCGAGCCTACCTGGATTGAGTTCTTTTGTAGGGAGGGCAGGGTGTGGGTCCCTCCTTCTGGTGGGTGAGAGGATATAAGACGCTCTGCTGCTGGGTGGTTCCTCCAGGGCAGGGGGCACAAGCCAGCTGGCTTTTTCTCAGCAGAGTCTGCCCTTGGCTGTTACTTGTGTGATTTCTGGGTCTCATATTTGTACTTAGCATCAGGATTGGGGAGAAACAAGTCCACCCCATCTTGTCTCTCTTTCACTTTCAAGTATTAAATATACAACAACATAAGAAGTTTTCTTTGCTTTTTTGGGTGTTAAAGTTTTAAATGAGAAAGAATACCCTCAAAATTTCCTACAGGGCTTGTTTGGTTGGACACAGGCAACTGTTGAAAGAAAGAAGATTCAGATACCAAGGTAAGAGACCAAGTGGGTCTGGTGTGGAGACCAGGTATGAGCTGGCTCCAGGCTTAGCTCAGTCCCTAACCAACATTTTGCATTTAGTTAACCCTAAGTTTCCAGTTCTTCCTTCTGTAAGATGAGTAGTCTGCCCTAAATGAACTTTGGACTCCTTCAGCAAACTAGAATCCATTCTTTTTCCACTTTGCCAAGTGAGAAGGATAGGCCAGGATTCCTCCAGAAATTTCTCTTAGCAGTCAAGGCAATTAGGGTTGGGGAAGATGGGAAGGAGAGACCAGATTGGGTACATCCGTGAGCACTGGAACCCCAATTGGATCATTTATTCATTAATAACTTATTTATTTGTTCGTTGTCACTAACGAATTGTATCCTTGCACACTTACTCAGTGCCAGTATTGCATCCTGTAAAAGAGTAAGAACAAACAATAAGACAGATTCACCCTTGGTGCTTCTAAGCCATTTTTTTCAGCAATATCTGCCAATACATTCCCATTAAATAATGTAAATAAGTAACTTGAGAGGCCAAGGCATTGAATGTGTTTAGGCTCAATGGGCAAGACATTGGCATTGACTCTGTAAATCTGCCCAGGAAATGTGGCACCATTGTTTCAACACCATGAATCCCAAGGCCTTGGCACTCCTTGGCCTCCTTGAGCAAGCTCCAGTTAATCTGCAAGCTTTTGTTCTCTAATAACTTGTGCAAACCTGAGCTACAAATGCCCTTGTCTTGTCTCTGTTCATTGTGCTGGGTAAATGGAAGAAGAAATCCTAGCTTGTCTCCTCCTTGTGAAGCAATCAGGTAGGCAACAGATCAATCTTCCAACACTGTGCCTGGGACAGTTACAGAAT